CTGGGGCTGCCCGGTCTCCCTGCAAACCCCTCGGAGAGCAGCGTCACGTGGAGGGAAATCCAGGGGGAAAACACCCGAGTTTGGGGTGAGCGCCTGTGGAGGAGCAGCCGGGGTCTCTTCCCCAGCCCCCCGGCTCGGTTTGCAGCAGCGACAGGGAGCTGGGAGACCGTCCTGGGGTCCCCGCAGCCCCGTGCCTGGAGACCCCGGCCCGCAGCTGTGTCTGGGTGTGTGTTACCTGGAAGGTTATCTTCGCCAGATCCCAAAGAACGCTCTGCTCTCGAGTTGTGACGCTCGCAGAGGGGACACGCGCTGTTTGGGTGACAAAAAAATGTATCAAAACCAGCGCTCGGTGCAAAACGCAGGTAGAAGTGCGTTCTTGCCGGCCTGAAGCGCCAGAGAAACATTCCTTAATCAAATATACTCAGGTACTACTTTGGATGCTTTAAAACCACGGCTCTGCCTAGAAATTTGTACCCAATCATGTTGGCTTTAGGGTTGTTGTTTTTTTCTTTGCAAACAGTCACGGAATCTGCTTAAAGATCGCTGCTTTCTTTTGTAGTTAATAGTAGAAGCGGCTGTTGGTGGCTACAGGGGGTTCAGCTGCCTGTTGCACATGGGGGAGGGCTGTGCAGAGTCAGGCAGAGAAAGCAGCTGGCAAGTGTTCCCCGTGTGGAGCACAGGAATGAGGAAGCTGAATGTAAACTTCTCACTGGAGAAAACGAAGAACCACCATTATGAAAACTAGTTGTAATGTTCTTTGTTTTGGCTTTTTGGGTTTCTTTTTATTTTTCCTTTTTGCAGACCTTTCCCATGCTTTGGGGCGTGGAGTCATTCTTACCTCGTTTGTAGGATGGCTGGGCTCTGCTGGAATGTTTTACCTGCAGGAACAATCCAGAAGTGCCCCAGGTGGCAGAAATTATGATTCTGGTGATAGTTGCATGTCCAAGTCCTAATGCCTACTTTCCTAGCTTATTAATATGGAAGGACTTGGTGGTGGCAGCTTTTGCATTTCTTCTGATATCAGCAAGTGGTTTATCTCTAGTTATTCGGCTTATTTCATGCAAGGAGAATAAGGAGCATACAGCAAAAAGTCTAAGGTAAACCAGCATCTAATGAGTTTATCCTCTTCCAAGTTTCCAGCCCTCAGGAGTTCCCAAGGGAGATCCAAAGTGGCTACTATCCCTTTGAAACTGTATATCTGCAGGTTTATAGTCCTGCTGTAATTTTGCAAGCTGAGCAAGATTGTTGCCCTGTGACCTCTGTTTGAGGGCACTGTGCTCCTGAGTTCCCTTTTTCTCTGGGCAAAGTGGGAACAAGCACTTTTCCAGGCTGAGCCTTCATGATGTGTCTTTGTAGGGACCTCAGCATCACAGCCTTCTTGCCTGAGCACATTTATCTGTTCTGATAGTACTGCAACATAGATAGTTCCTCAGAGATACTAGATGGCTAAATACAGTTTTTGTAAAGAGACTTTTTAGAAACAGTTGCTAATTGCTTCCTGTAGCATGAGAAAAGTAGTAAAATATTAAATGCTTTCAAAATTTTTAGTACTTTACAAAATTCTTTCATCCAGTTGCCATGTCTTTCCAGTTTGGCTATTTTACTTCTTGAGTGTGATTTTCCAGCCTGATAGGGTTGAAAAGAGCTACTAACTCTTTGCTGGCAGCTTGCTGGAGTTAAGGTAATGATTCTTGGTGGCTGCCACTTCACTGCACTGGGATGCTTCCCTAGGAATGGCAGGCAGTCAGAGTTAGCAATATACGCTGGTACTGCCTTGCCTGTGTCCTAATTTGAGCCAAGGTTTAGGTAAAAAGACAGAATAGTGAGTATCACAAGTATTTTATTGTGAACATTGCATTAAAAATACATTTTAAAAGGAATCAAATGCATAACTATACATAGAAATACACAGAGAGATGCATATATGAATATGGATTCCTGTGTGGTCTTGGGCACCCAGTCTGTTTGTAGCTGCTCCCAGGTGTCTCCAGGGGCTGGCAGCCGGATGTTTAAGCCCCAGAGGTACAGAGTCCCATTCCATTTGCTGGTATTAGACCCAGCGTGTGTGTTCACGCACATGCATGTACTATGTTTTCCCCCTGTTACTGTCCTTTGACTCAGTTTTACTTAGTCTGACCAGTAGCTGGCCTGGGTAGCCTGTTCTCCTAGTTAAGCCCATGCACACATGCAGATGGGTCCCTGGCCCAGACATATAGCCCCTGCAGTAGCTTCCCCCCTGCCCAGCACTTGGCTCAGATCACCTGGTCTCTCCTGTATCTGGCCCAGACTTGCAGCCTTTCCAGTATCTGGTTCCCACAACTCTAACTCTACTTGCCAGCTGCACTGGCTTGGTGTCTGGTGGCGATGGCACAGGCTGTGAGGAGGTGTGGCCCCTTCTGTAGCTGGCACTTGGACCTCTGGGGCCTGAGACACTGGTAGAAACACCATTAAATAATAATAATTTAAAAAATGGGACAATGTTGCGTGATGTCCCACAATGAGTCCTCTTCTAGGCAGGGCCCTTCCTCAATCTGTTAGGTGACCCCCTGCAGCCTTGGGGGATCCCTCACCCTGGAGCCTCAGGAGGTTAGGTTGCTCCCCCAGAGCTGCAGTACCTGCATGCCCATGCCTGCAGGTGCCTCTCTGCTGCTTTTTGTTTATGCAGATTAGCTTTTAATCACATAACCTAACATTGCAGGTAGTTCCCAGGCGTGACTATAGATTTTTCTGGATTATATATTAGCCATAGTTATCCCAGCTGTAGATATACTATTGCATGTATTTGCAAATGAGAGGACATCACTATTTCCTCATCTATGTGTTTTTTCCTGATTGTCTTAGTGATGAGTGCTGAAAGTATTGGTTTAATACATGCCTGTGTGTGAGCATGCTCAGAAATCTGCCTTTTCAAATAAACCTAGGGCTCTGCAAAATTAAAAATTAGTTGAAGGGCTTTCTGTTACGATTTCTTTCTTAAGCATTTGAGAGGAAAAATGTTCAAGGTGAATCTGACAGATCAAACTGCCTCTCATTAAGCTTTATGTCTTGTTACATCCATCTGTGCTGGATCCAAGAGGAGAAAATGTCTTTAGGGTTTCAACTCAGATGCCCAAAATAAAAAGCCAGCTATGGGGAGCATCTCATGAGGCCTCACTCCACCAGCCTGGAGGTCTTCAGGACAGGAGGTGCTCTTTAAAAAGAGCGATGAAGGAAAGGTGATTGATATTCTACTCATGAAAAAGGTCTGTTTTACTATGGGAAGTTGTCAGGTGGACAGTGGCGATGACTTGCTCAAAATTGACTAAAGGGAAGACTATCAGAGAGTTACAGGATTGCCCAGCTCTATAACTCAGGGCTGGCCCCTCAGCAGCAGGTTTGTGTGCGTCATTGCTCTCCTCTAGTGACCTTCTTTACCTTCTGTCATCCTCTCCAAGAACTACTAGTGGAAGTACCTCCTGGTAAAGTTAGTGTCATGAAGTAGAGGAGTATGGTCTGTTTTCTACCTTTATCAGTACGAGGTTTGGTTTAGTGTCCTATTAGCAAATCTTTGGGTTGTAAACTGAACAAACCACCTCTCATGGTCATCACAGCTAGCTTTATGTAGTGAAAGTGATAGTACTTATCCTCCTTGCAGAAATACCATTGTGTAAAAGATGGGCCATTTTAAAAATGTATCAGTTCCCTCTGGTTTACCACAGATAAATGCTGTCCTCTTAAAGGAAATCTTCTAATGTCCCTCCAAATGCAGTTATAAATGGAGCGGAGATAGGAGAAAAACTCTCCTAACTAGATTTAATCCCCGGACTTGCAAGGTCAAGCTTTACTGCTCCTCTGAATCAATTTTGAAATAAAAGTGTTTTTTTCCATGAAGTGCTAACTTTATTTGAAAGGTTTTGCCACAACAAATTTTTCAGAGGATATTAAGCTCAAGTTCTCCACACAAAAAGTGTGGCAGAGAGGAACTTTAGCTTTGAAAGCTATGGGGTTTGGGGTTTTTTTGAGAGCTACTTCTTGGTGCAGAAGTGGTTCAAGGCTTACTTGTCATTAGCTGCACCACTATCAACTCAGGAGAGCTACAGAATAAACTTTCCTAAATGAGGGGGAATTTCCTTCTTAGC